TAGGGAATATAAAATGGATTCATGTATCTAAATAAATTAATAACGGTATAACTATATTCATGTACTGTTGCACAAACAGCAGTATAAGACTTTCCATTGATATGTGTATGGCTGTTTCAGTGAATTTCACATGACTTGCCTTGGTGGCGTGACAGCTTAAGTGACTGATTTATAACCCAGGTCGGGTGTTCAAACCCAGCTGTTGCCATGAGTTTTCTTTTAAAAAAATAAAGATTTCTTTTACTAAAACTAAAATGAGCAAATATTATTGGCATTATATTGACATTTTTTATATTTCTAAATATCACAACATGTTCGTACTGTATGTACACAGCGGTACCACAGGGTGTAGGGCGCAAATCCACGTGAGCCCAAAAGCCCTACATTAATATTGTGCATTCACCTGGCGCTGTGCGATTTTCGCATCTCTCTGTCTCTCTCTCTGCGGGAGTGCTGTGCCATATTTCACTCCACTGTCCAAGTCTCTGTGTTTACATTGTTTGTAAACAAACCAGTTTCACAGGTATTTTCAAAGTAGAACAGGGCAAGTCTTCCAATGAAAGACACACACTCCATCTTCCCCCACAGACACATTTTCTTAGAAAAACAGATTCACAACGCGAAGCTGTCTGTCTTCTATGTAAAAATAAATCGATTTGGACACCATGGGTGATGTTTTTAAGATGCTGCTGAGTAAAGTATAGGAATTTTCCTGCTGTCAGTAGTATCTTGTATATAGTTGACCTTACCTGAATGAAAATAGGACATAAAGAAAGGGTTTCAGAAATCAAAGAAAGCTTTATTCCTGTGCTTACAGTCTGGGTAATTGGAGGCTACACTGTTATGCTTCCTATGGTGATATACAGGTTTTTCGCATGAAGCCGTATTGAGCAGAATTTCTTACGTTGTTAACATGTGTACACAGCGATCCCCTCGTGTTCCAGTTAGTGCATAATTACCCATTGATGAAAAACCGGTGGTTTAAAAAAAGAGAATTATCTCACTGCTAGTTTTATGTGCAAGCTGTGAACATTTTCACAAGTCGTGGTCTTTTAAATGCATTTGGTTTGAAGGC